TTGTGTTGTGATCCCCTGATTTCAAAGAAGAGACATCTCCCTGCATCTACACAATTGTATATAAAGTTACAATCTCAAATGCTTCATGATTATTCTTTAATGATTTTTTAATAATTATTTTATTTTTTCTGTGAATATACACGGCCAAGATTTACGGTTCTACAGAAGATTAATGCCTTATTCTAAGCTTAAAACGTTTAAAATGGGTTTTGAGGGGGGAAGTTACTTGACAATTTAATGTTTAAAATTGCTGTCGTGGTAATATTTTAGAAAGTGACATAACATTTTGCCATCTTAGAACAGAGTTAATCTCATTAAGGGAGGATAGTCTACACAAATGTTGTAGAAGAATGGTTGAGTTTTTCTATAAGTTGGATGAAGTAATTGTAGGAGGTCTGAATGATTTGATCTTTTATTTGAATTAGACCGGAATGGGAGTGAAAAGTTGTGTTCCTGGAAACCATAGAGGTTTGGTACAATGCGGAGGAGTCTTTTTTGGAAAACTTGGATATTATTTATGTGAGATGTTGCTGCATGACACCGGATTGTGCATTCGTAAGGAGAAATTATAGATATATACTCGCACTGTATTTTGGGACCTGAGTTACTTCGGTGGTTGATAATGGGAAAAAAATAATGGAGTTTCTGATAGGCTGCTTTCGCTTTCGTTTCTGTGTGATCTTCTTGCATTAATTTCAGGCAAGAATTTAGGAGAAATTTAATTATTTTTTCAATTAACATCATAAATTGATGTTTTTAAAGTGTGACTTTTTAAGAATGGGTTTTATTAAAGACTAAAATATATAATCTTCCATTTCGTATTTTTGCTATGTTAACTGCTAAAATTTTCAAAAATACCAGAATGCGATACATTTCTATTCTGTACTTTAATAAACTGATTTGACTAAAAAATTATCAATCTTCAATATTATAGTTGTAGGAAGTCGCAGCGTAAACCCATGACCACTTGCAACTGGAAAATAAAATCGAAAGGTAGACTCTCCGCCGATGATTGCGTAATATATAGGATTACTGGATCATCTGCAGATTAAACTATTTTACAAAACGATCTAAACTGTTATGGAACTGGGCGTGAAGAGATAAAATGGAAATAAATCCGAGAAAAGAGTAAATACATTTGATTTACCAAATCTTGCACGAGTGCACACTTTAATTATGAGTTAGTAACTAACGTTATACAACATGTAAAAAACTGTACGTTTTTAGGTTTGGTCATGCGAAGCGCCTTGAGTTGGTTGGATCGTATTAACAATACGATAAAAAAATCCTGGAGGGCGCTACACATTGCAATGCTTATTCTGAAATATAGTAGTCCAAATGCCCGTTCCGTACCATATTGTACCCTTGCTCGTCATAATTTACAATACGGGAGTTACATGTTGGGACCAGTGCAGAAAAGGGTGTAATGTGCATAATGGTTTATGCGTAATGTGCTAGATGTACAGAGGCGACACAGCATGGGCAGGTGTCGGGAAAAGATTGCAGAAACCAGACTATGAAAGCAGAGTAGACCATTCTTGCAAAACACGATGTAGAAACAAAGAACTGTTATAGGCAAGTGTTGTTTTGTGAATCGCACTGTAGTGGATTTGAACAAACTACCTGCAAACGCACTAGAGGCTTTTCCTTGTAATGTCAAATTTAAAAATATGCTTATTTCTACCTAGATAATCACTAATAACACTGAGACTTTTATCTTTATTTTTATATTATTATTATTATTATTATTATTATTATTATTATTGTTATTATTATTATTATGACCGGGTCCCTTTTTCATTGAAGTTAAGTGGAGTGTTGTGTGGAGAAGGGGAGTGCAGTGTAGTGTAGTGAAGTGCCAGATAAACTAGAAGTCAATTTATATATAACAAGAAATTAATTATAACAACGATATCAGCCTCTAATTCTAATTGTAAATGTTTGTAATAGTTTTCTAATTGTTCTAATTCTACCTGTATTCATTGTATTCATGTTTGCCAACGAGCGTTAGCTCAAAGAAAACTTTAATATTATATCTACATGTAACATATTTTGAACTTTTGCAATTTTCCAACAAAGACCTGACATAAGTAAGTTCTCTTTTGTGAATCGCACTATAGTGGATTAGAACAAACTACCTGCAAGCACACTAGAGGTCTCTCCTTGTAATGTAGTCAAATTTTAAAATATGCTTAATTCCGTCCAGATCATCACTAATAACACGGAGACGTTTATGTTAAGTAATGCTAATGCAAGTAAATGCTCTGCATGTACGTGAATAATTTGTGTCAGTCTTCTTGTTATTAGTTAGTGTAAGAATTTGTGGATCATGGTCACTGTAACTTAGATTAATATTTTTTTTCATATCTATTTGTGGTTTGATGAATTATTATTTGATATTGCTTTTTGGGAAGTACATAAATTACGTGTAGATGCATTCACTGTAATATCTAAATTAAAAGAATGCATGAAATTGTGGAATGGACCACACAGGCGTAATTATTTGTGTAATGCGTCGCTGTGAGTCACGCTATAATGGAGGGGGGGAGGGTTGCCATCACACGTAAGGTGCGATGGTCGTTTCCAGACACCAGGATGCATGCGCTGAATTTATTTTGGGAGGGCGCCAAGCGCATGCCTTACCTGTGATCTGGACACAGGTGTTGAGACATCATTAAGGGAGGGCACCCTGGGTTGAAGGATTGCATTTGATGACTGTTTATAAATAATTCACCTTTTTTATGTGATCACCCGTCCAAAATGACGGTAACGCGTTTATTGCTATAGAAAATTGTCTCTTTTACATTACTGTTCCTTCTAGGGCTTTTCTCTGGTTATTAACTGAAATGGGTGTGAACACTTACAGCAAATGATGATGATTGAAATTCTTCTACCTCACTCCGAAAGGATTACATGTCCAAATATCGGCCAGCGGCAGCAGATGACCCGTTCAAGTACCATGGAATTCTCCTGTAGTCGGCAGGAACACTGAGCTAGAGATCGTGTTGTTTTCAGCTATAAACTAATCAACGTCAATATTTCTTGACCAATAACATAATTGATATTCCCAATGATAAAACATTTCACTTGAAAAACTGGCACTAATCACATGTATATTCTTTTGCAGGGGAACCTTTTCATGCTGATGACGAATATCCAGTATTATCCAGAAATAAATACAATTGAAGATCTTGCAAATGTTGGATATGAAGTCCTTTGTTTTGAATATTATCTTCTTTTAATGTTTAAACAGTCATTAAAATTGTCCAAAGCCCCTCATGTTCATTCAAGAATTCTTAAAAAAGGAGAATTAGAAACAATTTTGGAGGGAGGGCAGCGAAGTGCCCTTATCTTCCCTGAGAGTTGGTGGATACGGCGAAAAAACATGAAAATGTGGCAAAATTTTCGTGCAATGAAGGATCTTGTGGAGGAACGCTTAGAGTTTGCGCATGCTCGAAGGTAAGTTCATCGTTCTTCATGACTTATTATTCTGCTTAATTCGAAAGAACATCTCAACTAATTTGCTAGAAGTGTCAAAGAAAAACTTTACCTTTGACAATTTTACATTCTTCATTCAATTAGTCTCGTCATTAACCGTGTGAGCGAAGCCGTAAAATAATTTTTGTCGTTTAGTTCTATATTTTATCGTTTACCTACTCCTAACCAGGATGTGGGAAACGGTAAAAACACCGGAGAGAAACGTTCTTTAATTAGGTAACACGTGGAGTTTACGCCTAAACGGCGGTGCAGTGGTGAACCGGCCTTGCGAGGCAAGTCATCTGTTGACGAGCCCGTGGAGGACTTTGTGTCGTTGGGTGACTGCGGTAACGTGGAAGCGATGCTATGTGCGTGCTCCGAGTTGAGGAGTAGCCACTCACACCGATTCTCAATAGGGTAACATCGCTCCTGCGTGAAAGGTAAACCATCAGTTGGTGCGCCGTGCGCCGCGTGAGTAATTGTGTGCTCGTGTTACCAGCCCGGTCACGGAAACTTGGTTTTGTACGCCGCTTCAGATGTAGGAAGTGGCGAGTTGCCACAACTTGAAACCGATCGTCAATCCGGTGAAATCGCCGGGCCGCAATCGAGGGAATAGTAGGTCTATCAGAGCAAAGGTGTAAAGTGTAGCATTCTATGTAAATATTTGTCTGTAAATATGAAAGCTCGTGTCGGGTGTTCGCTTGTGCAGTACTCCATGTCGTCACACTACACACAACCACCATTCCGACACCGTAGCGAAACTCTTTTTTTCAACTTTACGCTAATAGTCACAGTAACCCTGGCTAGGGGGGAGTTTATTTTCTTGTTGTCGGTAGCAAACTCGCCACAGTCTGTCTGTCTAAAAGCGCTGGTTTAGCATTTATTGCTAATTGTTTTACTAAAAACGTTTTATTTTTATCCAATGTTTCGCTAACACTGACAGAAATCACTAGAGCGTGTGTCCCCCAACATTTACTTCACTTTTCTGTTTCAAAGTTAAAAAGAAAAAGAAATAAGTAAAAAGTAATGAAAATTTCAAAATCCATTTTGCGATTAAAATACGTCACGGTAATGAAGTAACTGCTTGGCAATGCTAACGTTAGACGCTTCTGTCTAATTAACATGAAATGTAAAACTAGCTCAATATAATAACATTACAAAGGTTCTGAGATGTTCTCTCCAATTTTGAATGCGTTGTACTAACAAAACGCGCAATGGCTCCCAGGCAAAGGCTCTCCTGTTATTTCAGAAAATAAAAATGCAATAAAATAGTAATTACTTTTAAAATTGTAGACATAAACCAATTCAAAGTAACTTAAGAAAATATATTTTGAAAATCAATAATACATGAATGAAATGAGTATTAGTGTACATTAACATGAATAGACGGGTTGTAATTGAACGTCTAAGAGGGTCGGGGGCATTGAGTAGTCATTACAGTGTTATGCAGGCTTCCGGTGTGGTTATTATTTTCCAATCGGGGAAAGGCTTATAAAAAGTGCCTAGTTTTTTTCCGACACGATTTTGATTTTGCAGCCCCATGACGCATGTTTTGCCGTTCATGGTCTCCGAATATTAAAACCTTATTACCGACTTGGAAAAACATTTTTGTTGCCTTTCATGTTTAATTTATCATCGGGAGATTTATAAATGTTATAATAGTACCAATCTTTGTGCAATTTTTTGGCATTAAGAGCAAGTTTACCTTCTATTTCATTTGGTATTTAGCGTATTACTATTTGGAGGTGATATTTTATGTTTGATGATTGCCATTAAGACTCTGGTTCCTTTGTTGGTGATCTATCTTTTCTGCGATGTTAACATAGTCTGGACAGAAGAAAACTTATTGCTGGGTTTGAAATGAGTTTTTAGTGATGCAAGCAACATCAGCAATATAGGTATGGAAGAAATGCGTTAAATTCGATTTTTTATAGCAATACTATTCGCATTCCAGGTTGATGGAAGGTTATAAGTTTCTGATTTGACATTGAGATTTGGTATATTACTGATTATTGCCTTAGCATGAACTGAATTTATTATACTTACGATAGAGTTGTAATGGAATTTATTACCGATGTTTGAATGAACAATCTATTGTTAATGCTGTTAGAGTTTGTTTTGTTTGGTAACTGTGTGGTTTTGGTTGCGGTTGATGAAGAAGGATTCGGGAGTTTTGAAGTTGTAGTTGGGACGAAAGTAAAATTAGGTATGCCTGTTTGTGTGATGGGAAGCATAGAAGTGAAATTTGCGATGCGTGTATTGTTAGGTCTCTTTTCTAAGGTTGGTTTATTGTATTTTTGTTTGGGTGGCTTCTGCATGTTCTCGACAAGAAAGCGTTTTTCTACTGAAGCGTAGTTTTCCTATATGAGTTTCGTTAGAAATGGTGTTCAGTAAATATTTTTAGAATCGTCAGGGACATATTAAACGATGTGTCCCGTTAAAGTTACTTACCAATTAGGGATGAGAGCCGCATTACTTGTGGAATTCGCCGAATAATGATATGTTGAGGCAGTAGTATTACAGGCATAAGGTGTGGTTACAGTTATTGTGGAGTATGACCAAAAGTTAAAACACCTCAGGCATTGTATAGTCCATTGGTTCTACGTCTTTTTTCAGTTTCACATTTAAGTTGAACTTTCCGTTGTTTTTATTACAATGTGCTTCTCTCTTGAGGGCCGTTAAACTAGGGCAGCTACGACTGGGATAGATGTTGTCTTTGTGCAGTCTGGTAACCACTGATTAGCGCAGGGGCACTTTCTTTGAACTCCCTCCACAAGACTTCTTGGATGGAAAGAGATTGTTGTGCAACATTTTTAAAAACTTCTGAATAATTTATTAGCGGGTTATTTATAGGTGCAAGAAATTTTCTTTTAGTATTTAATAGATATGAATTGTTTTTATGAAGTCAAGTTGTTATTGAACACTAGCTTTGTTCGGTTACTATTTTCAAAGTGATTAGAAGTAAAAATATGGTTCTTTCATTTCTCTATTTAAACTCTGATAAGTTTGTTATGTTATTGACATAAATAGGTTCGAGTCTTGATATTTGTTATTTTGGGCTCGGGGTGATTGTTTACATAAGTAAACAAAATGAGCGTGTCCCATGCGCCAGTCTGGCATTATACAAGCAGCCATGCGCCCCGGGCTATTTGCTTTGCCCTAGCCCAGGGCTTGCTGCGGAAATTAAATCACTTTTCAATGGTTTATGAATTTAGTGATGTAATGGTAGCACCTTAATAATTGACACTCCAGTTATGAAAGTACGTAATACACTTAGAATAACATAAAAAAAATCCTTAACTTCAGACACTTAACTTGTTCGAACAACAGCTGATCGCGATGTGGACTCCAGGACGGCTCGAAAGCCAACTGGCTTTCATCATCTACGGATAAAAAAATATTTGGGGGCGACAAAACAATATCTCAATTGAGCTCAGAGGATTCTTTTAGGCTTGATATTTTACGTGCAGTAAATGAACTAACTTGGGACAGCCGGCTTTACTTCCCCTCCAATGGAAGGCGTACGATGTTTTTTTCGTATTCAAATCCACTGCTTCTTTCGGGTTTGAACCTACAAACTCCATCTTGTGTACGATATTCACGTTCTATAAACCTAAACTGATTAACCAAAAATAGAGTTTAGATGCATCTACTCGTATTCATAATTCAAAAATATACAAAATACTGTTAGGCACAGATAAAGAAAATTTGGTACTTATAATGATAATGAAAATTCACTAATGCCAGTTCTGTAGGTAAAAACTTGGTTTATGGTTGCAAAAAAAGTTTCAAATGTCCAAAAAATGACTCATTGTAGTGTTAAATGTATTTTAAATATTTTCCCAGTATTACGTTAAATGTACTTTTTTCCAACGCACTAATATGCAATTGGTTTTCTTGCTTACAGAAACTGGCCCTGGACAGTTCCTGTGAATAATTTATACTTGAAATTTGACGCTTATGGACTAAGAACGTATTGGAGAAACGACTTCTGGCAGAAAGTGAATCTAATGCCTATTGCATTTACTGAAAGACACGAAACAATGATTGGCGGTCCCAATGAGGATACTAGAAGAGTGTTTGTTCTCGATGACTTGCGACCTCATCTGCAAGTTCTAGCATTGGGTTTGATCTTGGCCTCTCTCCTTTTCTGTCTAGAACTGTATTGGAAAAGAAGAGAGTTCCATTCGAACAAGATGATTCTTAAAGTTCAGAAGAAACTGATAAATAAAACAAAAAGAAGCAAACTATGTTGACACTTTGAGCACCTTTGGGTTTTGGAGTGTTTCCCTTCGGGCTCTTTTGCAGCATGCGTAATATTGTTACACTTATCCCCGACAGTGTTTGTCTCTCTTTTGACCATTGTTTATATAATTGTCGCAAGCAATGATACAAATGGCATAAAAGATGAGCATCAAAAAGCAAGCAATTATTCAAGAAAAAGTTTTTAAAGACTAACAATTTAAACATATTTTAGTCATGTCACTCACTGTCATATAACTTTAACCTGCCGAATTCCTCTACTTGGAAAAATGTAATAAAATAAAACTTTTCAAAAACTTACGTTTGTATTTAAATGCCGCAGAAAATGTGCAGATTTTTCGACAAATCGTTTGGCATAATTGCGTTACCTTCCTTCCCGTAATGGCGCCGTCTCCAACCGCTGCAAAAATCTGCATTCTCTTGTCGCGGTTACCATTTTTTATTTTTTTGCCTTAATTGAACCACTCGCAAATTTAAATTCTTCAACTAGGAAACTCACTTTACGAAAATTGACTACCTTCAAAGCAAATTACTTCATGAAAATCTAAGATATCACTTTCTTCATGATGTTATTACACAATAACGTAAACCCGTCTGTCTATATGCATTGTTGCCTTTACGGCGCAGTTTGAAACAGATCTTCTCTTCTACCAAACTCGCTTTACATTTTTACACTCCAATTTTTGGATGTCTTTAGATTTTCTTAATTTTTTCATTTTAATAATTTGTAAATAAA